ATATATATATATATATATATATATATATATATATATATATATATATATATATATATATATATATATATACATACATACAGTGACGTATTCAGAAATTTTTTGTGCATACCAGTCTAAAAATCTGGTCTAGCTTGGAGGACCTTTTTTTTTTCTTTTTTTTACTCAAATATAAATTAATTTAATTATTTGTATATATTATATAACTCGCCCTAATAATTTAACTTTTTCAAATTAAAATTTAAATAATTAACCAAAATAATGTTACATTTATTTCAGAATGATGGCTTTAACTCCAACATTGATTCGTTGCTAATTGCTAATTTTCATTTACTTGCTTTATTCTTTTACTAATTATAAGTTATAATTAATACTAAATATTAAATTAAAGATATTAAATTAAGTTATTAAGTTAAAATATTATATATTATTAACTATAAATATAAAGAGTATGATTTCATAAACAAGCAATAACTATAAGGTTTAACAAACAATATTTGTATGTCTCTTTTATATAGACTAGAAAAGATTTATTACATAGCGTGTTTATTGCATAACAAGGTCAATTCATTTGAAATTTTTATTACTTCATTCAAAAATCGATAACTTTTTTTTTGTTCTACTCTTACTTTTCAAATCAAGTTTTATGGCGCAAATATTAAAACGTTATAACGTTTTAAAAACTTTTATTTGTTTTATTATTTAAAATACTTTTAATACAATTTTACTGTTATATAAAAATGAAGAAGTTTAAAGCTCAATTTAAGTGTAATCGCTTTAAAAATTATGTTATGAAGGCGTAGGCGTAGGCATAGGAAAAACTCAATTTAATGCATTTTTAAAATGTTATTTAAAAATGATAAGCGTTTCATATTTTAAACTAATCAAAACGTGCGTTTTACATTTTAACCCAATTACAACATATTCTATATTTCATCAATGTGAATTCGATTTAAGCATTCTGGTTAGCTTAAAATACATTTATAGTGTATTTTAAAAGTCGTTTTTCAAAAGTTGGTTTTTCTAAGCGACATTAATATCATAACAAATGCTAATATAAAATTGTTTCAAATTGAGTTTAGGCTGAGATTTGGGGGCCCATACCGGTATACCGGTATCAAAATCGGCCTGGATATGTCGCTGATATATATATATATATATATATATATATATATATATATATATATATATATATATATATATATATATATATATATATATATATATATATATATATATATATATATATATACATACATACATATATATACCCACATATATATACATATAAGGGTGGTACTTTAAACAACATTTTTTGAAAATGTCTTCTCAACCACTCAAAATGTGTTCTAAATAATAAAATAATACTAGAATTACAAAATTTTCAGAAAAAAATACAGTTGGATGCAGAATTATAACCTCACCTGTATTGAAACCTTAAAACTATCTTTCAAAGTTTTGATCAAATTCTATTTGTTGATCATTTTTTGAAATAAACAAAATAATTTACATTAATCTATTTATATTTTAATTGACTCAAATTATAAAACCATTAAAAAGCAGGGTGCACAATTATAACCTCGTTATCTAAATTGAATCAAAAGCCATCAAAAAAAGCAGTAAATTATTTTTTTTGATTAAATTTATTACATTTAAAAATTGTAAAATACATTTTAACTAATACCAAGAGGAGTTACACTCTCTGACAAAGAAAATGGCAAGGGAGAAGCATGCAGGTCAATGGGTTTATCAAACAGGAAAATTTCTTGCAAACTGAGACGGTCACAACGTTTGATCAATAATTTCGTAAAGGATCCAACAAATTATAGCACAAAACATCGAAGCAGTAGAAAATCTATACTTACAGCTCACCAACAGTGACAAATTCTGTATGCCGCTAGTAATCGTACAATCTCCGCAAGACAAATAGGTGGTAATTTGGGATTGAAATGCTCATAATGAACGATGAATCATGCAATTAACAAGTCAGACGTTCTTAGATATGCAAAAAAAACGCACATCTCTAGCACTAACTGAAGCACACAATTGCATTTGTCTTCAATGGGCAAAGGACCACATGACTTGGAAAAAAGAATGGCAAAAGATTGCATGGTCCGATGAAAAAAAATTCAATCTTAATGGTCCAGATGGCTTCAATTACTGCTGGCTTGACATAAAAAAAGAGAATTTATTTTCAAAAACATGGGCTATGGGAGGCAGAGGAGTAATGATTTGGGGTGCGTTGAATTATTTTGAAAAAACTTTAATTGGCTTTATTACTACAAAAATAAATGCTGAAGGATATAGAAATTTGTTGAATGGTCATTTGAATGATATTTCGCAAAACTTTGGTAATACCTATTTTATTTTCCAGTAAGATAATGCTCCAGATCTTAGAAAACATTTGGAAAGTATGCCAAACGGAATATTTAAAGTTATTCAGAATGGCGGTAATAAAAAAAAGTATTAACAATAAATTCAAATTGCAATACAAAACATTATGGAATTTTGCAGAGTAAAATTGAAATGAGGTTATAATTTTGCATCATCATTTTTCTAAAATTTTCATGTCAATTAACAAAATGAAACCAGACTCTATTACAAATGAAATATTAATCAAGTAAGACATTAATTTAATAATTTAAAAATAATTATTTAATTATTTTTGAGATCTTGAATTTTGGGTTAGGTTATAAATTTGCACCGCACTGTATTTTTAGGGGTAGCTCAAGACCCTTAAACATTAGACAAGTCCCTATAATTATCAAAAAAAAAATCTTCAAAAGTATATCATGTTGGGTCTCAAAAAAATCAAAATTATATAAAAACTTCAAAAATAATCATTATTTTATATAAATTATTATTGTAGATTTCACCGGCTAGAAAATGACATTTATATTTTTCTTTATATGTTAAAATGAAGAATTTTTCATTAAAATCAAAAACAAAAATCCCTCTCAAAAATACAAAATACTGTGTACGTTACTAAAAGATATACTTGATAGCAACCCAAGAAAAAAACAAAAGATTGCTAATCACTGGTGTCGAAAAAAATAAGAGGAATTTATTCTGGTGCCTGCATTTTAAATCTCTCCTTATCAAAAATCTGCAAAAATTGCAGATTTTTGATAAGGAGTTGTAAGTCATAGATGAGTTTTTTCTGGAAATTCCCGGAATTCCGGAAATTCACTTAAAACATCTTTAATTTTATCAGAAATTTCCGGATGTTTTTTGATATTATTCTGAAAAAAAGATAATATATTTTTACACAAAATTTTACATACGACAACTTTTGCATTTAGACAAATATGTTTTCTATAATTAAAATTTTCACGAAATCAATTTTCGTAACAATTTTTTTCTTTTTTTTTTTTTTTTTTTGCTCTTTAATTCATTCAAACTTTTTCGAATTTTAGAAATTCCTTCTTGTATAAAGTTAAATAATCTAAATTCCGTTTTAAAATAATCTAAACTCCGTTTTTAAGCATAATATTTAATTATATATATATATATATATATATATTATATATATATATATATATATATATGCATGTATGTAAATATATATATATGTATATACATATATATATATATATATATATATATATGCATGTATGTAAATATATATATGTATATATATATGTATATACATATATGTATGTATATACATATATATATATACATACATATATATATATATATTATATATATATATATATATATATATATATTATATATATATATATATAGTAATATATATTATATATATATATATATATATTATATATATATATATATATGTATATATAACAGGGGCGTTGTGTGTGTGTGTGTGTGTGTATTTACATATATATATATATATATATATATATATATATATATATATATATATATATATATATATATATATATATATATATATATATATATATATATATATATATGTATATATAACAGGGGCGTTGTGTGTGTGTGTGTGTGTGTATTTACATATATATATATAAATATATATATATATATATATATATATAATATATATATATATATATATATATATATATATATATATATATATATATATATATATATATATATATATATATATATATATATATATATATTACACATATATATATATATATATATATATATATTACATATATATATATATATATATATATATAGTATATATATATATATATATTACATATATATATATATATATATATATAAATATATATATTTATATTTACTATATATATATATATATGCATGTATGTAAATATATATATATATATATGCATGTATGTAAATATATATATATGTATATATATATATATGTATATACATATATGTATATATAGTATATATATATATGTATATACATTATATGTAATATATATATATATATAAATATATATATATGCATGTATGTAAATATATATATGTACATATATATATACATATATGTGTGTATAAATATATATATATATATATATATATATATATATATATATATAGTATATATATATATATATATATTTATACACACATATATGTATATAGTCACAAAAAGATTACTTATTTCCTAGTTTTTCTAATCCAAGAGCTTTAAAAATATAAAAAAGCATATGGACTAATGGGGAAAAAATCAAGACTTATAGGTCGGAAGAACAATAAATTTTTTAACCCGCAGTCCTTAGGTATAATGGCAGCAAGAACTCCGGGTTTAACAAAATAAGTTACAAGTCATGAAACATAAATTTTTTTTCTTGTAACAGATCATTGTTAAACCAACATGTTTAGAGCTTCTGGACACTAGAGACCATAAAAAAAATAAAGTTATAAAGCTGGAATCCTTTTGGGACTCCGCATTGATTGTATTAATGTATGTATGTATGTATGTATGTATGTATGTATGTATGTATGTATGTATGTATGTATGTATTTATTTATGTATGTATTAATCAATTTTCACAATATGTGTATACTTTCTTTGATAGACACTAGCAGATGTCAACTTAGGAACGGTACAAAATGGATTAAGTCAATCAATAAAGAAATATTCATTAGACTGTAACACTGTTGATCAACATCCTCCTAATGTGAGCTTACCTTATTCGTTAAACTTACAAAATCTTTCTTCGTGGGGAAGTGTTGAGTTAAGAGAAACTGATCAAAAATCAACTTCTTTTAAGCGCCCTCATTGTAATTCAGAAGATGAAAATAATTTTTTACATAATCTTATTGTGCAGCAAACAGAAAAAAAGGGTGAGTTTTGCATATTATTTGAGAAGGGTGTTTACTGTAAAGTTTTTATTGATAAAGATGAAAGTTTATTATAAATTTTTTGGTGGAATGTGGAATGTAAATGTTTAATGTATTTAGTGAAGTCTAAATCTAAAATATTTTAAATAATGAATTTAGTTTAGTAATTCATAAAAGATTTTTAAAATCAAATTCAGGTTTTGTATGAAGCCGTTTAATTTACAATTATCTTTAAATGTTATAGATTCATCGGTTCCTTCAATATCATCTGTTACACAAATTTTGCAAAACTCTCAAAGCAATGTAAATACGTTAAACGCTGTTAATACTAGACATTCTTTATCAAGCGATAATCTTCAGACTGCTCAACTATTAAAGCAAAAAAATCAATCTCACCAATATATACAACATGGCTATCAGCCGCAAATTTTACCCAAATTATCCTCGGCACAAACATTAACACAATTTACTTCTCCTACAGCTAGTCTACAATTCATTAGCCACGGATCTTCATCTAATGGTCATATAAGCTAGTTGGAGAACATGTTGGTTTTCAAGATTAATCTTGAATGTTCTAAATAGTTTGCTTTTAAATTTAGCGATTTTCGAACACTCACTATCTCTTTTTTAGAGAGATTTTTTTTTTTTTTTTCGTTGACTTTTATACAAAATAATTTATAGAAAATTTTTTCGCTTTTTATATATAGGGGATTATAATCGGGTTATAAATTTCATAGTAGATATTAATTTTATATTCAGGGGATCTTGCAGAGATTATATCGGATTATCAATTTCATCGTAGATAAGGGGCTGTTCGTTATGACACAATTTAACAATTAAATAAACGTAAAAGAAAGTTGGCTCTCTTTCGCGGTGATTTTTAATAATTATGAAGAGCATATAACGCATTATTATTAGTATGGCTTTGCGCATAAGAGATAATTATCTCCTACTTCTATTTATATTATTAATAGCGAGACATAATTTGCAAACAAATCATAATTTAGTATCTGTAAATAAGCATGTTTTTCACTAAAATTTAGATGTTGCGGATAGATTCAAACAAAAAATAAAAAAAAGAATGTGTATAAAATTAAAATCATTTAAAAACCTTTTCCTTTCAAAGGTTTCCTTAAATTTAGAAAAGGTTACTTTATATTAGAAATTGTTATCTATTAGTATTAGTTAGACCGCAAAAATATATTTCTAGTTAAAAAAGTTCTCGAGGTTTCCGAAAAAAACTGGACTTTTGCTAGTTATCTTTTATGTCAAATGTATATATATATATATATATATATATATATATATATATATATATATATATATATATTATATATATATATATATATATATATATATATATATATATATATATATATATATATATATATATATATATACTATATATATATATATATATATGTATATATATATATATATAATATATATGTATATATATATATATATATATATATATATATATATTATATATATATATTATAATATATATTATATATATATATATATATATATATATATATACTATATATATATATATATATATATATATATATATATGTACACACATTGACAAAAAAGATATAAAACATAAATGAATTATAATATTGATTCCATTTAATCTTATCAACAATATATATCTTTAAGTGTTCCGGTAAAATAACAAACATGTTTTTTAACTTAAGTAATTTATAGTACTTATCTTTCACTGATTATGCTGTCGTGGCGCAGTGTTTAAAAGCGCTCGCTCTATAAGCAGGGGACCCAGGTTCGAAACGATCTCTGGACATTTTTTCGCGTCACCTTATGAAAGAAGGCGTGAACTTCCGCGGTGCTCTGTGACAAGACCGTTAGGTCTTCTTGGAGAACCTAAATAACAAAACAAAAAACTGATTACGATGAATAAACTAAAAGTTTGGCTATTGTAAAGTGATTTTTTGTTGATCTTTAAAGTCATTTCCAACGATGCGACAAACTTTATTATTTTCATCTCATTTTGGTATCAATTAATGCATTTTTAAAAACACTGTTATTGGAGCCTTAGATCAAGCAAATCCAAAATGGTTGTCTTAAAAGATTAGGTAAAGGACGTTGATTTTTTGTTGTAAACTAAACTAGACCAAAATGTATTTCAAAAACACGCACTTTTTGTGTGTTTATTGCAGATGGTTCAAGAAAACCTTATGGTTACATCACAGAGCAGAGAAGAAGAGCATCTAGAAAGCTTACTTCAGGTAGAAAAAAAGTCAAAAGAGGCAAAAGGCATCGAACCACAGATCTCTTTTACACATATTTTTTTTTCTCAACTTATTGTCTACTTTAAGTATATATATATATATAGTATATATATATATATTATATATATATATATATATAATATATATATATATATATATATATATATATATATAATATATAATATATATATATATATATATATATATATATATATATAGTATATATATATTATATATATATATATATATAAATATATATATATATATATATATATATATATATAATATATATCTATATATATATATATATATATATAATATATATATATATATATATTATATATATACTATATATATATATATATAATATATATATAT